CATCTTTTTCTATAAATGTAAGGATTATATTGTATCCAATGGCTAGGTTCCTATGATACACATGAAACAGTACCACAATGACAAGTCTGTAGAACCGAAATACTGCCTACATCATTTCATAAAAAACTATGAAGTGTTCCAGTGCAGTTGAAGGGCAGGGCTCTTCAACCACTTGCACCATCCGTGGAGTGGGAGAGAAACTAGGTAGTTATAACAGACAGAAAAAGGGAGCTCCCACAGCAACACAACTGGACAAATCAGGCCCTATCAAAATATGAAGGGCATGCTAGATTCTGACTGTATGTAGATATACAAATCTTAATCAATATAAGAAATATGCCCAGGAAAATAAATAACACAAAATTTGAAGACACTGAAAAAATACCCACTTCCTTATCCTGCCTACTTCTCCTAGGATAACTATACATAAAAATTCTAAATACCAAGTTCATAAAAAAATTCCAAAATTTGAAACAACAGTTTTTGATAGATTTAGACTTTGAACACTTTGTTAACTGGCGTCCTGTGCCAGATATACTGAAAACATTTACACACATAGAGTATAGCCCAAGTATTAATTTGGTTCATCTTCTGCGGGAAATCAGAAAATCCAACCAGTGAGGACTGCCTGCCCCCTACCACCTGCATAACTTTTCCTCCTTTATCTGTAAACTAGAGGCCCAGTGCACGAAATTCAAGCACTGGGGGGCGGGGGGGGGGTCCCCTCTGCCTGGTCTAAGCCCTCTCCCAGTGGGGGAGCCCTCGGGGGATGTCTGACTGCCATGGAGGCGGGAGAGGCTCCCACCACCTCTGCTGCGCTCGCCAGCTGTGAGCCTGGCTTCTGGCTGAGCGGTGCTCCCCCTGTGGGAGTGCACTGACCACCAGGAGGCAGCTCCTGCATTGAGCACCTGCCCCCTGGTGGTCAGTGCACATCATAGTAACCAGTAGGATAATAAAAGGCTAATATGCAAATTATCCCCATGGGCAGTTCTACCAACCAGGAGTTAGACGTGCACTGACCACCAGGGGGCGGCGTGGAACATGGCGGGCATTGGTTCCCCCCACTCCCCGCCCCCAGCCAGCAGTGGCAGCAGGCAGCCGGGGGAAGGGAGGCCCCGGCCGGCAGCCTGCAGCCTCTAGGGACCCTACCCATGCACGAATTTCGTGCACTGAGCCTCTAGTATAGGATAAAGTTAATGGGACCGCATATTAGCTTCTCAGTAACTCAGATACAATTCCTGAAGGCCACTCTCAGTTCCTTCTCCCCTATACTCTCCCCTTCACCAAGTCCTCTGAAATCTATATCCAAAATCTTAAAGCCATCCTTTCCCCTCCATCTTCAAAACAGCACCAACCGTAGAAGAACATCACAAAAATAGGTACATCACTTATTGGACAACTGCAACTGCATTTATTTCTTGCAACTGGTCTCCTGTTTATAGTCATAACCTTCTGTGCTTTATAAACTACAAATGACCAACATTTTTAATGAAATAATTCAGATAACATAAGAATGCATCATACATAGTAAGGATAAGTATTATTTCATGAAAAACTTGTTTGTTATAAATATGGCATATTTACCAGGTTACATGTATTTCTTACTCTGTGTGCTAGGAGAAACTTAAACTGTGGGTTACAGTTAGAAAATTCCAAAGACCACAGCCTAAGCAACCATTTCTAGAATATTAATCAACTGATATCCCCCTTCTTAAAAGCCTTCTAGGGGCTTCCCATTAACCAGAGAACAAAGTCCAAATGCGCTGAAATGGCACTCGTTTGTCCGTGATAAGCTCTTGCTCCCCTTTCCCAGGTCACCTGACACTAATGTTATTCTGCGCTCCAGTCCTACCACCTTCCGCACATGCTGTTCTCGCTGCCTGTATAATTTGTTCTTTGATTTATGCAGCAAATCCTGCTTATCCTTTAGTACTTAGTTTAGGTCTGCTCCCCACTGCCTCTAAATCAGTGGTTCTCAACCTTCCTAATGCCGCGACCCTTTAATACAGTTCCTCATGTTGTGGTGACCCCCAATTTCATTGTTACAAATTGAACATAATAAAAGCATAGTGATTAATCACAAAAACAATATGTAATTATATGTGTTTTCCGATGGTCTTAGGCGACCCCTGTGAAAGGGTCGTTCGACCCCCTAAGGGGTCTCGACCCGCAGGTTGAGAAACGCTGCTCTAAATCCTGATTGAAGTGTACACCACTCACCAGAGGACTGCCTGACCTCCTTTTTGAAATGCTATCTTCCCTACATGACACAACAAAAGCCCGGCTCTCCCCCTACTTCTCTGGCTGCTTCTCTTCAGTCTACTCTAAATGGTAGTTTCCGAAAGTTTCTGTCCTAGGTCACATCTATTTCCTCTGCATGCTTTCTATGATCTAACTTCCATAGCATCAATTATCATGTTTATGCCAAAAACTTCCAAACCTTCATTTATAGCACAGATATACTCCTTCTGAGTACAAACCCACACACTGCATTCTCTCCTAAATGGAACCACTTCTTCCCTTCCCTGTTGCCCACAGCTAAGTACAAAACCATCTTATCTCCCACCTAGATTAACCTTTAATGAGTCTTGGGCCTACACTTCTGCTTTCTTTCAATCCATTCATTTTCCACACACCAGGCACAGGGACCTTTATCCCAAGCCCCAAAAAGATTATACATGATCAAGCCACTCCCTTACCAAAAATCCTTTATTAGCCTCTCTTTGCCTTGTAAAGTGCAAAACCCTGCAAGTCCTAATATGATCTGGTCTTGGCCTAGCTCTCGGTCTCATCTCTCACTACTCTCTCCCCCTTGACAGTATGCATCCGCTGCCTGAGGGGAGTGCCTCCTTACTTCCTCTTCACCTCATTCTTCAGGCCTCAGAGTAAGCATCTCATCTTCTGGGAGACTGTCCTTGATCCCAGACTGGACTAGGGATTCCTGCCATCTATCAAAACACCCATTACCCTTTATTATGTAACTGTCTCTCTCTCCTGACAAGTTTTAGGGCCTGAAGACAGAGGCCAAATGACTCTGGTTCAACCCCGCAGGCCAGAGTCGAGCACAGCACCGGCTAAAACGAACAGCTCTGCACCCCTGGAGCCAGAATCTGAATTGAGGGAAGTTGCGTTGTAGTTTCTTTCAATCTAGAGGTTGAAGGTTCACATACACAATTACACCTCCTTAAAGCCTAAGACAATTTCTCACGTCAAACCCGAGTAAAGCAAACGGGTGGAGTCTCCTGTCATTTTCCGCCCTGTGACGGCTCATCAGGGCTTCTCACACCACGACAGGAAAAATGTGGCCCCATTTCCCCACCGGTGGCCTTCGTGGCTCAGTAAGGGGACCTCGGAGCGGTGCACACTAGACCAGAAGGGGTGACTGGAGTCCCTGGGTCCTCACGGAGACCAAGAGGAGGTTGGGGCCGAGGCGAAGAGCAAAGATCTTTATTTCCCCACGTACCAAGCGAGGTGGTGCTGCCTCGGTGCGGTCCCGCCCACCCCGGGACGCCGCCTGGCGAGGAGGGTGGGACCCTGCACTGCACAGCAGCGTCCTTGGGATCGAGGACGCGCCTCTGCCCGCCAGGGAAGCTCCGGGCGTCGGAGGCGGCCGGCGGAGAAGTTTCAGAGGCGCCCCAGCGGGGTCGCTTGATGCGGGGCTCACAGGCGGGGCCCGAACTCATGCTGGGACCCGCACCGCACAGTCCCCGGCCGGCCCGGGCGGACAGCCTCGTTCACTAACCCTGCGGGACGGACTGCGCCTCCTTCTCGGCGCCGCCGGGCACCATCCCCTCTCTGCGCTGCCTGCTTCTGCAGCTGCTGCTCCGCCGGCTGCCCAAGCCAGGCCCTCCCCAGCCGCCTGCCTTCCCTCTTCCTCGGGGAACCCGCCTGCCTCAGGATGCGCCGCCCCGACTCGGGCTCCGTTCACTTTCCCACCACCGGAAAACTGCCGTCAGGCGCGGCCGGCTTCCGGGTCGTACCACGTCGCAAAGCGGAAGTATGAGGCTTAGCGGACAGCGGCGCCCGGAAGGTCAGCGTGTGAAGGAGTCGGTGGTAACGCGCGTCGCCCCGCTGTTACTGAAGAGCGACGGCCGAACGGGCGACCCCGGCCTGAGGCGGTGGTGAGGGGCTGACGGGAAGTTTGCGGCGAGGCCATGGAGGGCGGCGGGGGAAGCGGCAACAAGACCACCGGGGGGTTGGCCGGCTTTTTCGGAGCCGGCGGAGCTGGTTACTCGCACGCGGATTTGGCCGGAGTCCCGCGTAAGTACCGCGCGCGGCTCGCGATCGTTTCTGCGACTCGGCCCGGCGTGCGGCTGCCCTGCCCTCTCTCACTTGTTGGTGCTCACAGTCCGCAGTGGCCGTGGTGCGGTTGGTGTGTCTCTGCCGCCCCGTCAAGACCGAGCAAATGTTGGGGGCCATGGGTCCCCGACAAGCTCTCTGGAGTTGACGAGGGCTCAGAGATGTTGCACGTTTCCTTCCTTCCGTATCCGAGCCTCGTGCCTTCTCTCTCCTCCCACACGTTTATCTCCTCGTGTGGTGGGCTGTGTGTTTGGCCCTACGTGAAGAGGAGGGCCCCGCTCTGCACGTAAATGTATTCCAAACAGGATCCCGTAGAAAACCTTTTAGCGCAAAGCCGCCTCTTCTACCCCACAAAGTCGCCGTCAGGTCGGAACCCTCAATAGTACAGGGAGGCGACCGAGAGAGGAGCCGGGACCCCGGGAGGGGCTGGAGGTGAGCTGACCTTGCAGGTCCCCTGCGGGAAGAAAGACTTTCAGGCCTTGACATAGCTTCTGCATGTCAAGTAGGCGGATGCATACTGTCAAGGGCGTGTGCGAGGTGGAGGTGCAGGAGCGTGAACACCGTGCCTTTGCCCCTCCTCGTTCCCAGGAATATGGACTCCAGACCCTCCAGACGGCGTGGGATGAGGAGAACTCGGACTTAAAGATAGTAGGGACTTGGTGGAGGATAATGGCGTGATAAAACTGTTTTCTTTTTGATAATTCTTGTATTTCTCTAGGTCCTTTAATGCTCAAGAACAACAACAAAAACCTTTTCCAGTTCCTAGTGTCACCTGTGTCAAAACTGCATCTAGAACACGGTTTATGTGTAAATCGTAGGAGTCTGAGGGTTGGAGCACAGGCGAAGCGTTGTCATGTTAACTGGACTAAGGTTGAAGGCTGAGGGAGGGATTGAAGGGTGAACACCATTCATTGAGCACCTACAATGAGCCAGTGACTTTAATGGACTTAAGCAGTTAATTTCTTTTTTTTTTCTTTGTAAGGCCGCTGCTTTCATGGAGTTTACATCCTACTGAAGTGAGCAAAGTAACAAATAAAAACACTTCAGTTAGAGTTAAGTGTGCGTAAAGGCAGCAAAGCCAGATCATGAGATGGTGCTGGAAGCAGGAAGCCATTTGAGAATGGGTCAGGGAAAGCAACTCAGGGGTGTTGATATCTGGGCTGTGGCCTGAATACAAATGCCTGGGAGGAGGCAGACATACCACTGAAAATGTCTAGTACCTGTGTCCTGAGAAGAAAACAAACTCGGCATGTTGGAGGAACAAGTGTTAGATGTGTCTACAAAATTGCAAGAGAGTTGGAGCGGTAGGAGATGCTGAGCAGAGGGGCAAGGAATGGCAGCTAATGTAGTGTTTGTAAGCCATGGTGAGGAGTTTGCATTTGTAAGTGTAAATGGCTGCCATTCAGGCTGATTTCCGTTTCTGTAGAAGGTGAATTGAAGGGCCCTAGCCTGTTTGGCCCAGTGGATAGGGTTTGGCTCAGTGGAGAGAGCGTCGGCCTGTGAATCAAAGGTCCGGGGTTCGAGTCGGTCATGGGCGCTACCTCGGTTGGGTTGCAGGCTCCTCCCAGGCCTGGGCCCTCAGGGCGCGGGCAGGAGGCAACCAAATCAATGTGTTTCTCTCTCTTTCCCACTCTCTCTAAAAATCAATGGAAAAATATCCTTAGATGAGGATTTTGTTTTTTAAGTGAATTGAAGGGACTACTGTAGTGTAGTGAGATTTAATGGTTGGACTAGGATGGTGTCAATAAAGACAGTGGTAACTGACACAATACAAGATAGCTATTGAATCGGAACTACTAGAACTTTCAGTTGATGAAAAGACCAGAGTCATAGGAAATGCATAGATTTGTGAACAATCAACTAAGATACAGAAGGATCCAAAGATTAAATTTAAAATGTGAGAAAGTTTATTTTCCCTGATAGATTTTTCTAACTTCAGTTAGTGGGATTCCAGTCTGGCCCTCTTGCGTTTCCATTTTCTCTCGTCCTAACCCCCATCCCTGTGGTAATGGCCAGAAAATTCTCTACCCTGCCACAGTAAATCAACTCTGTCAGCAACTGTCAACATGGAACTGCCGTGAAATATTTATTCACAGCACACAGCCCAAACACTGTTTCTCCCATGGAATTATTTGGTTTCTTGTCAGTTTCATTTTGCAATTTGTACAGTTGGCAAGCACTCTTGTAGCAAAGTAGAAAGAAATTAGCTTTATAATTGACCTGGGCTGTGCTTCCTTATATGTGTGGGTGCCTGAGCCACCACTGTAATACCCGGTTTGGGATTGAAGGCAGGAGGAGGAGGTAGCCCCAAAACTGCCAGACAAGAAGGATAAGCATAGAAAAGTGAGAGGAAATATCACATTCAGTGAGTCTGTGAGTCAGAATTGCAAAACATGAAACAAGAGCACAATTAATGCTAAATTAAATAACTTTAAACTTTTTGTTGCAATATGATGCTTTGTTTTCTTCTAGTGACTGGTATGAATCCTCTCTCTCCTTATTTAAATGTGGATCCACGGTATCTCGTGCAGGTAAGATTAAGACTAGTCCTTTTATGGTTTACTAGTTAGGTGCTTACCATTAAAAAAAATTTTAAATGTTAGGTATTTATGCTGACCTGATCTATAATATGTATTTTTGGAGGCACCAGTTCTCTGGTATCTATTCACCCTTTTTTCTCATAAACCCTAGGGATTTGGCTTGCAACTCTCCCTGACATTAGTTGATTAAATCTCTTTAAAAGGTTTTGGGGTTTGGTTTTTCCCCCCATATTTTTAAAATTGTGGTAAAATAACACTAGCAAAATTTGCTATATAACTGTTTTTAAGTGTTATGTTCACTGTCACTAAATACATTTGTACAACCATCACCACCTACTATATCCATAACTCTTTCATCTTGTAAAAAATGAAACTCTGTAGTCCCCCCTTTCCCGCAGTTTCACTTTCTGTGGTTTCAGTTACCCATGATTAACTTGGAAAATATTAAATTTAAAAATTCCAGAAACAAACAGTTCATAAATTTTAAATCACAGGCCATGCTGAATAATGTGATGAAATCTCCCACTTCATACAGCACAGGACATAAATCATCCCTTTGTTCAGCAGATTGACACTATATATGCTACCCTCCTCTTAGTCACTTAGTAGCCTTTTCTGTTATCAGAGAGAGAAAGACCCACAACATTCACATAACTTAATACAGTGTATTGTTAAAATTGTTCTGTTGTATTAGTAGTTGTTAATCTCTTACTGTGCCTATTTTATAAATTAAACTGTCATAAGTACAGGAAAAAAACATAGCAGGTATAGAGTTCAGTACTATTCCCAGTTTCAGGCATCCACTGGGGGTCTTGGAACAGATCACCCATGGATAAGGGAGGACTAGTGTACCCATTACAAAATAACTCCTCATTCTACTCTCCCCCCAACCCCTGACAATCACCCTTCTGTCTCTGATTCTGTATACTCTAAGTACCTCAAATAAATGGAATCATATAGTATTTGTCTTTTTGTGACTGGCTTATTTTATTTAGCATCTCATTCCATTGAATAATATTACATTTTGGTTATCCATTCATCTGTCCGTGACACTTGTATTGCTTCCATGTTTTAGCTATTGCAAATAATGCTGCTATGAACATGGTGTATAAATATAAATACCTCTTTCAGACCCTTCTTTTAATTTTTTTCATTATATAGCCAGAAGTGGAATTGCAGCATCATGTGGTAATCCGTTATTTTCTGAAAAATTGCCATATTGTGTTCCACAGCAGCTGTGCTATTTTACATTCCCACCAACAGTGTTCAAGGGCTCCGATTTCTCTATATCCTAACCAACACTTGTTATTTTCTGGGTTTGTTTTTTTATCATAGCTATCCTAATGAGTATGAGGTAGTAACTCATTGTAGTTTTGATTTGCATTTATAGCTCCTGTGGAGAAATGTCTGTTCAGGTCCTTTGTCCACATTTAAATTGGGTCTTTTTTTGTTGAGTTTTCTATATATTCTGAATATTATGTCCCCTTATCAAATGCATGATATAAAAATATTTTGTTCCATCCTAGCTGGTTTGGCTTCGTTGATAGAGCATTGGCCTGCGGACTGAAGGGTCCCGCTTTCGATTCTAATCAAGGCACATGCCTGGGTTGCAGCTTGATCCCCAGAAGGCAGCCGATCAATGATTCTCTTTCATCATTGATGTTTCTATCTCTCTCTCCCTTTCCCTTCCTCTCTGAAATCAATAAAAATACATTTTTAAAAAATTAAAAATGGCCCTAGCCAGTTTGGCTCAGTGGATAGAGTGTCGGCCTATAGATCGAAGGGTCCCAGGTTCAATTCCAGTGAAGGGCACGCACCTCAGTTGCAGGTTCCTGCCTGGGCCCTGATCAGGATGCATGCAGGAGGCAACCAATTGATTTGTTTCTCTCACATCGATACTCCTCTCTGTCTTTCCCTCTCTCTAAAAATTAATGGAAAAATATCCTCAGGTGAGGTTTAAAAAAAACAACACAAATGGAGCTGCCTTATGACCCAGCAGTTCCACATCTGGGAATTTATCTGAAGAAACCCAAAACACTAATTTGAAAGAATATATGCATCCCTATGTTCATTGCAGCGTTATTTACAATAGCCAAGATTTGGAAGCAGCCCAAGTATCCATCAGTAGATGAGTGGATAAAACCACTATGGTACATTTGCACAGTGGAATACTACTCACCCGTAAAAAGGAAGAAAATTTTGCCCTTGGCAACAGCATGGATGGACCTGGAGAATATCATGCTAAGTGAGAAGCCATTCAGAAAAAGACAGGTACCATATGATTTTACTCATGTGGAATTTAATGAACAAACTGATCTAACAAGCAAAATAGAGACAGACTTAAAGATAGCAAGCAGATAGCTCTGGTGGTTAGGGGATTGAGCAAAAAGAGAACTTGTGGACATGGAAAACTGTGGTGATTGCGGTGGGAGGGAGAAGGGATGTAAGGGTATAGCAAGGACAAATGGTGATGGAAAAAATAAAAGAAAAATAAATAGCATTCCAGTAAAAATATTGGCATGATTTGTTATCCTATGTAATAAAAGCGTAGTATGCAAATTGTCCCCTCAACCGGGAGTTCAACCATAGGCAGAGCCAGCTGAGGGAAGGAAAGGAGTACCCAGCTGGCAGCCCCTAGGGACCCTACCAGTGCACGAATTTTGTGCACTGGGCCTTAGTAAAGTTATAAGAAATAATTAATAGTAAGTTAAACACAAATGAGGAAGTATAACCTGGGAATCTTTAAATGAAATCTTAAATCCTTACATATATAAAAAAGTACTTAATTACTTGAGTTTATTTTATTAGATCAGATTATTAATATTATTCATAAGTCTATGCATGAACACTTGAAATTAGGGTTATACATTTTAAGGTTTACACATTGGCCTCAGTATTCTATTGTTTTGGGTTTTGTTTTGTTCTTTTCTTTTAATCCTCACCAGAGGACATGCTTAGAAAGAGAGAAGCATTGATTGCTGCCTCCCGTATACTGCCCCCCACTGGGGGTCAAGCCCACAAACCAGATATGTGCCATGACCGGGAATCAAACCAGCAACCTTTTGGTGCTCGGGATGATGCTCAACCAATTGAGCCACTCAAACTGAGCTGTTTTGGGTTTTTTGGTTGGTTGGTTTTTTATTAGGATATTGGATTAAACTGATCAAGAAACTTCAAAGAGTTTTGTTAGATATCTCAGGAATGCAAGGTTGATTTAACATTTGAAAATCGTTGTACTGTGCCATATCAGCAAAGAAAAGAAACCACGATTAGCTCAATAGATGCAGAAAAGGCATTTGACCAAATTCAACATTCCTTCGTGTTTTAAAAAACACACACACACAAAAACAATAAAACTAGGAATAAAGGGGAATGTCTTCAATCTTTTTTTTTTTAAAAAAACAGTGAAGTGTGTAGTATATATTTCACCCCAATTTTCTACAAATATATGTATTCATTGATTCAGAGAGGAAGAGGGAGGGACAGAGAAGCACCAGTGATGAGAATCATTTATGGGCTGTCTCCTGCATGCCCCCTACTTGAGATGGAGACTGCAACCCAGGCCTGTGTCCTGACCTGGAATTGCACCATGACCTCCTGATTCATAGTCAACGCTCAACCACTGAGCCTCGCTCATCAGGGTCAACCCAATTTTTAAAAGTGTTACTTTTAAAGCGAAGGCTGCACAGGTGCCGTTTGAATGAGCACAGGTTGTGACTTAGAGGAGTTTTAGGCGGTTAAATGTCTTTAATCTGATACGGTTTTTTTAATCAAAATTTCCAAAGCTATGGGACTGGGTGAAGGTGGACAAAGGGATGGGAGTGGGGATGGGGACATCTGTAATAGTGTCAACAATAAAAATGGAGTTTAAAAAAAATCCAAAGAGAGAGAACTCATGCGGGGAAAAAAGCCAAAGCTAACATGGTGAAAATCTCAATATGTTCCCACTAATAAGGAACAAGACAAGGATATCCACTCTCTTCGCTTGTCTTCAGCATTGTCTTACCAGGGCAATTAGGCAACAGAATGAATGGCATCCAGATTGATAAAGGAAGAAGTAAAACTATCTATTTGAAGGTATGATCTTGTGTATGGAAAATCCTAAGGGTCCGGCCGGCATCGCTCAGTGTTTGAGTGTCAACCTATTCACCAGGAAATCATGGTTGGATTCCCAGTAGGGGGCTTGCAAGAGCAGCTTATCAGTGATTCTCTCATAATTGATGTTTATCTCTCTTCTCGCTGAAATCAATAAAAATATATTTTAAAAAGAAAGAAAATCCTAAGGACACCACAAAAAACTTAGTTTTAATTTAGAATTTCAGCAATGTAGAATGACACAAGATCAGTATACCTAATTAATTATATTTCTATATAATAGCAATGGACACCACAAAAATGCAAGTGCAAAAACAATTCCATTTACAATGATATCAAAAGATAAAATATGTAGGACTAAATTCAATAAAAATGCAAAATTTGTACTTTGAAAACTATAAAACATTATTGAAAAAACTTAAGACAAATAAATTGAAGGTATTCCAGTTTCTTAGAAGGTTCAATATTGTTAGAATAACAGTAATTTCCAAATCAACCTGCAGATTCAACAGCCTCTATATCAAAATCTCAGCAGGCTTTTTTGCAGAAATTGGCTGATTTTAAAATACAGATGAGAATACAAAGGATACAAAATAGCCAACAATCTTGAAAAGAAGAGCAAATTGGAGCATTCACACATCCCAATTTCAAAACTGATTCCCAAGCTACAGTAATTAAGACATTGTGGTGCTGGCACAAGGATAGCTCTATATATAGATCAACAAAATAAAATTGAAAGGCCAGAAATAAACTCTTCACATTTATAGTCAGTAGGTTTTCAACAAGGGTATGAAGACAATTAAGTAGGGAAAAATTGGTAATCATATTTTTATAGAAACCAAGAGCTTTAATTTCATGGATTCCTCCCCCAACCCAAATTAATGTAATTTGACCAGGGTCTACTCCCTCAAAATCTTTGAAAAGCTTTGTTATATGGAACAGTACTTCTTTTTTTTTAATCCTCACCTGAGGACATGTTTGTTTGTCTTGAAAAGCTTTGTTATATGGAACAGTACTTTTTTTTTTTTTTAATCCTCACCTGAGGACATGTTTGTTTGTTTGTTTGTTTTAGAAAGAGAAGAGAGAAACGCTGATGTGAGAGAGAAACATCAACAGTTGCCTCCTGCATGCGCCCCAAATAAGGATCAAACCAAAGACCTTTCAGTGTACAGGATGACATTCCAACCAACTGAGCCACACGGGCTAGGGTGAAACAGTACATTTTTATTAACTTTAAAAGCCCCAGTGACAAGTAACCATCACATTATTTTCAAGTCACTGTATATGAATGAAGTATATTTGCTTTCCATCCTCGTCGTCTTTTTAGTATAGTTGACCCTAACGAAGAGTAAGTTGGTAATGACATGCATTTGTACTTACTAATGTTCATCACGGCCATTTTTTAAATTACCTATTTGTAATTAATGACTCATTTTTTGATTGAAAGATAATTACTTAAAAACCTCAAACCAGAAGCATAATTTAAAATTAAGTCATTAATTTGAAATTCAGGAAGCACCCAAAATTTACAAAACTGTCTAATAATCTAATAATAAAAGCATAATATGCTAATTAGACCTGATAGCCGACCATCCTTCCAGACAAAGCCGAGGGGGCTTCCAGGGCCAAGGGCAGGCCGCAGCAGCGGTGGCGGGGTGATGGGGGCAGCACCTTCCCCTGATTGGCCCGGTCGCCTCCCGCAAATGGAGGCCAGACTGTGGCTTAGGCCCGCTCCCCGTGGGACCTTTGTTTAGTAAGTGCATTCCTGATTAGGAAAATCATAGCTCTGCACTGGCTTTAAGCCGTCAATAGGACATCCCCTGATGGCTCCTGGACTGTGAGAGGGGGCAGGCCAGGCTGAGGGGACCCCCACACACACACACCAGTGCATGAATTTTCGTGCACTGGGCCTCTAGTGTATGAATATTATTCATGGTATGGCATCTATTCAGTGTGTGCTTATTGCCCAACCAACCATTTTTGTGTGATAAGAGTAGATGTGTTTGCTTATTTGTGCAATTTTTGCTGAGAATATATGCATAAGGCAAACATCAAAATCCAGTGCAGAGCTATGATTTTCCTAATCGGGAATGCACTTACTAAACAAAGGTCAGCATTTCACAAAGGGACCTGTTAGAGAGTTGCTAAATGTGTATGTACTGTCCTTCAGGGGCTTTTTCTAATCATTTTTGTGTGGAGAGCTTGGAAAAATGTATTGAACATGTCCTTCATAAGAATGTATTTTATTGCACAATTAATCATATAGTGTTCTTAGAGTAGCATTTCTTATCCTAGGGTTCGGTTCATACCAAATTTTGTGTATGCATTTATTGGAAAGAGGGTCTATAGCTTTCTTTGTAAGATTATCAAAGGAATAATTATTAAGGTAATTTTGCCCTTGCATAACTGATCCAAACTGTTGTGCTTTTATAGTTTCTGCTCATTTTTTTTAATTATCATTTTCTCTTACACATCATAAAATGGTGTTTGATATGGAATGAAAGTTATTTTCTCCTTTCAGACTGTTATTCTGTAAATGGTTACTTCTCATAGCTTTCACTTTACCTTTTTCTAGGGCTGTTCTTCCTAAACACTGTTGCTTCAAATTTATTATTACACCAGAGGCCTGGTGCACAAATTCGTGCATGGGGGCAGGGGACCATGGGAGGTTGGCCGCTGGCCCCAAGGAGGGAGCCGGCCCTCAGCCCCCTTGGGAAAGGGGCCATGTCCACCACAACCCACCCCTGGTTCCCCATCCCAGCCCAGAGCCCAAAGGCCCCGGTGGGTAGGGAGAGGAGGCGACAGTCGCCCGGCTGGGCGCAGAAAGAACGGATGCCGACACCGCCATCGACACCCCACCTCTCCCCCCTCCTCCTTCCCTCGCTGCCGCACCACCACTGCAGCAGGCAGGCAGCTCCCAGGGAAGGGAGAGGAAGGGAGCGAGACAAATCCTTGTGTCAAGGGCTGACTTTCATTAGATTGCAGTGAGGGAGCTGCTCTGCTGTGTATGAAACACCAACCCAGAAGCAGGTCTCTCTGAATGGTTTAGCAACAGGGACTGATGGGGGCCGGCCGGCTGGGGGGAGGGGCCCCAAGCCGTTGGCTGTAGGAGTGCACTGACCACTAGGGGGCAGCTCCTGCATTAAGCGTCTGCCCCCTGGTGGTCAGTGCGCGTCATAGCGACTGGTCGGTAATTCGGTCATAAAGGTCGCTTAGGCTTTTATATGTAGAGATAAGGCAAATTACATACAATCTGTAAAATTTACATTGAGAAGCACAGTTCTGAACAAGGATCCTTCCTAAGAATGCAGGTGCATAACTATGTATGTTGTATATTTCATTTCACTTTGATTTAGATGCTGTTGTTGCAGAAAGTTTTATTTTTGTTTAAGTATAGTTAAGTTTTAGTTAATTTAAGATGATACTTTCTGTGAAAAACTACTTTAACAAATTAAAAAACACTCTGCAAGTACTCTGTCTTGAGAGGAGCTCAGCTTGGTTTTCATTATTACTCCTTTAGGATACAGATGAGTTTATTTTACCAACCGGAGCTAATAAAACCCGGGGCAGATTTGAACTGGCCTTTTTCACCATTGGAGGATGTTGTATGACAGGTGGGTGTAATAAATTTTTTAAGTGTTCTTAATCTAAGTAGTCAAAGATGCTTAAAATCAAAAGCAATTAGAATATTTTACGTTTTTCATCTTTTTCTGTTATATACAAAATGAAAAAGAATCAAAAGTGCAGTTGTTTTTAAATATAAAAATGTATTATTTGGATGAATTGTTAACTATGATTTACTAGGGGCTGCATTTGGGGCAATGAACGGTCTACGGCTAGGATTGAAAGAAACCCAGAACATGGCCTGGTCCAAACCAAGAAACGTACAGTAAGTCTCATGTAATCATCTGATGTGGTAATGTTGACTATTAACCACTACTCTGTCGGCTTGATGAGCACTATCTTGTGATTACAAATGTTGAGAGTATTGATAAACTTTTTGGTCAATCTTTTTTCTTAGTCAAAATAAAAGGAACTAAGAAATCGAGTTAGTGACTCTTAAGCTTTTTTTTTTTTTTTTAAATATATATTCTATTGATTTTTTACAGAGAGAAAGGGAGAGGAATAGAGAGTTAGAGAGAGGAGCTCAGCTTGGTTTTCATTATTACTCCTTTAGGATACAGATGAGTTTATTTTACCAACCGGAGCTAATAAAACCCGGGGCAGATTTGAACTGGCCTTTTTCACCATTGGAGGATGTTGTATGACAGGTGGGTGTAATAAATTTTTTAAGTGTTCTTAATCTAAGTAGTCAAAGATGCTTAAAATCAAAAGCAATTAGAATATTTAACGTTTTTCATCTTTTTCTGTTATATAAAAAATGAAAAAGAATCAAAAGTGCAGTTGTTTTTAAATATAAAAATGTATTATTTGGATGAATTGTTAACTATGATTTACTAGGGGCTGCATTTGGGGCAATGAACGGTCTACGGCTAGGATTGAAAGAAACCCAGAACATGGCCTGGTCCAAACCAAGAAACGTACAGTAAGTCTCATGTAATCATCTGATGTGGTAATGTATGTTGACTACCACTACTCTGTCGGCTTGATGAGCACTATCTTGTGATTACAAATGTTGAGAGTATTGATAAACTTTTTGGTCAATCTTTTTTCTTAGTCAAAATAAAAGGAACTAAGAAATCGAGTTAGTGACTCTTAAGCTTTTTTTTTTTTTTTTTAATATATTCTATTGATTTTTTACAGAGAGAAAGGGAGAGGAATAGAGAGTTAGAAACATCAATCAGCTGCCTCCTGCACACCCCCTATTGGGGATGTGCCCGCAACCAAAGTACATGCCCTTGGCCGGAATCGAACCTGGGACCCTTGAGTCCGCAGGCTGACGCTCTATCCACTGAGCCAAACCGGTTAGGGCGACTCTTAAGCTTTTAAAAGGAATGATTTTTGAGCCAGTGTCCCTCAGTCAGCTAGTGCTACCCCTGCCTAACTTCTCAGCTACACCTGTTTCATTCTGCAGGCCTACAAAACCTGCTTTTCAAATTTTTGAATGATTAGTATATTATTTGGATTGTTCAGGGGCATCCAGAACCATAGGGTGGTGAAGAAATAAAAAGGACATAAGAGTGATTGCTAGATTCGCTATTACTTGACTTGAATTTAACTTCACTTTCCACTTCTGAAGTGGAACGCTACAGAAAATTTAAATCAAATTCCTAGAACTTAGAGGTAGTTCCAGAAGGAATAAGACAGTTTTCTAAGAAAATTATTTTGCAGAAAAGGGAAAGTACAATTAAGAAGATCAGAAAGTGTATATAATATATATCTTCACCCAGCTTAAGAAATAAACATGACCAGTCCCTGTTGACATTCCCTTAATATATTGTTTAATTTTGTATGTTTTTATACTTTATATGAGTGAAATCACAGTATACATATATTCTTTTTTTTAATGAGAGTCTTGTTGGTCTTATTTTTTTATTGTTACTAATTTTTTTAGAGAGAGGAAGGGAAAGGAATAGAGAGAGAGAAACATGTATGAGAGAGGAACATCATCAATCGGCTCCCTCCTGCAAAGCCCCTACCGGGGAGTGATGCCACAACCTGGGCATGTGCCTTGATAGGGAATTGAACCAGCAACTGTTGGTTCCTGGGTCTACACTCAACCGCTGAGCACACCAGCTGGGCTACATATATTCTTCAATGGCTCACATAGAACACTTGAAACTCCATCTGCATTATTTGTTGTTTAACCAGCAGGTGGCAGCAGGTGTCTGCTAGAATTAGACCTTGGGGAATTTGAAGGTAAATTCCTGTTACTCTGTTGACGGTTGCCCTTGCTTTACTAGCCCAGATTCTTGACTATTCATATATATATACATACACACACACACACACACACATGTGTATGTATATGTATGTGTGTGTGTGTATATATATCCTTAATATTTGTTCCTTACTCCGATAATTTTTTTTTTTACTTTTTGTGTTGTGGAAAATTTGGAATGTATATAAAAGTAGGCAAAATAGTACAGTGAACACCTGTGAACCATAACTTATGCTCAATAGCCATCAACCAAGACCAATTATGTCCCATCTCCTTCTTCCCTTCCATATTATTATGAAACTAATTCCCAGTGTTCTGTCATTAAATATTAATTTGGAAGATCTAGAAAAAATAACCTTTGTTTTTTAAAACAGTAATGTTATTAATTTTTAGAGAGTCAAATTAGTTTTCATTTTTTAGAAATCTTTCACACCGTTTTTTACATAATCATGCTGCTCTTCCTAGATAAGGAGACAGCATTTAAAAATGGAAAGAAGATAGGGTTTCAAGCTAGACAGATCTATGTATCTTCAAAGCCTAGTTCTATTACTTGCTATTTTGTAATCTTAGGTAAGCTTTCTGTACTGTCTGCCTATAAAGATTGTTGAGAGATGATTAAAGTTAGAAGTAAAGGCCCAATATGTGGAGGTACAGTGCCCAGTTGCATCCCAAAGAATTTTACCAATTTGCAGTGCTATCAGCAGTACAATACTATGAAAATTAATAGTTTTTAAAGCTTGTGACAGCCCTAGTCAGTGTTGCTTAGCTGATGAGTGTTGTCCAATGCACTTTCCGGCCATCGGTTCAATTCCTGGTCATGGCACAAACCCAAGTTGCAGGTTTGATCCCTCGTCCGGGTACGTGACGAAGGCAGCCGATCAATGTTTCTCTCTCACATTGATGTTTCTGTCTCTCTCTCCCCTCTCTTCCTCTGTTTAAAAATCAATCAAAAAAAAAGTGGTTTCTGTTTGACAATTTTTTAAAAAGGCTTGTGACAAATGTAAAAACAACGTGCTAAACTTTAAATATATTGGTAAATAATTAATTAAAACAATATACTTCTCTATAAACAACCTTTTATAAGTAACACAAATTTTTATTATTGAGCATTAATATTTAGTTATTTTTTTTTGTTTGCTGCTATAATTCTCTAATACCCAGCAGTAGTCAGCTGTCCAGACAGATCGTTCCTGTGATGGTGTTACACTGCTGGGAGAGAAAGGTCCTGTCTTCTTCCTCCAGTTGCCTCTGTCACTGTGCTGGTGGCATCAGGCACTGGTGCAAGGCAGAACTGTGCTTCCTTGAGAGTGTGCTAAGCATCCACTTTGGCTGCTTAGTTCTAGTGTGGGAGCAGACACAGCGTGCTTTCTCCGTGGGTTCTGGTTTGTTTTTTCCTTCTCTTCGAGTACATATTTATTTTTAATTCTGCCCTATGTTCTATAATATTCCATGATTTGATTCTACTTAATATTCTCAGCATATACCCCTCCCCCCCCCAAAAAAACCTTAATTGTATGCTACTTTGTTCATTATAATGGCCATGTCGGTTTCTATAAACTTTTTTTCTTTTTGTGTTTCTGTAAACTTCTTATAAAAATACATTTCAGGCTGTCATTCAAAGCCTTTATGTGTTTGATATATATTTAATAATCTTATATATGTAAGAAATTTCCTTACTTGTTACTCACAATGGTTGACGTTTTTAACATACCTTCATTTATATTTCTATAAAGTAAAAGCCATTCTTACTGAATTCTGAGGAGGTATTAAGTTTTTTTCATGAAGAAAACTTGGAATTGGATTTATACTTTTTAAATAGCTGCAATTATGGTTTTTCACATTACTAGAGGAAATAATGATTCTAAATACAGATTCTTTGTCTTTCTGCCCTTGTAGGATTTTGAACATGGTGACAAGGCAAGGGGCACTTTGGGCTAATACTCTAGGTTCTCTGGGTAAGTAAAGATTTCACTTGATAATAAATTATTAATGAAAAGAAAGAATGTACACATATCATGAACAATTTGATCAACCAAAATGTTTTAAATTCTAGGAAGAACAGGAGCTACATAAAATAATCCCAAGGTGCTAATACCATCTTGTATACCATTTCTGAATGTTTTAAATCTTTTAAAACTCTAAAAAAAAACCCTCTAAGTACTCTCCTATCCAAGCACGACACCAAATAAAATCATGAACCTTTCCAAATACCTTCTTTGCATATCCGGAGTCATAGTCACATGTCTGGATTAGTGACTGTAGCTCGTCCTCCTTTTTGTTTTAAGTGAGTATACATAGCATTCCATCATATGGAAAGTCCCTTTCTGGACCAGTCTCTTCCTGATGGGCATTTTAGTTGTTGCCAGGCTTTTGCTATTACAAACAGTGTTCAAGTGATCCTGCCGGCAGCATGGGAAAGCAGCAGGTCATCCACAAAAATCTGCTCTGCCCTCCACCATAAGCCAGCTGCTTATATTGGGTAGGAGGACAAAGATTACATGGGAAAGTGGGCCCAGGGTAATCGTTACAGGTTACAAGTCATGCAGGCTTGGCAGGGGGGCAAGGCGGTGGCATGGGGAGTGTCACATAGGGTGGGGTGGAGGGGTCAAATGTGGCAGTTTTGAGAACGGGTAAGAAAAAGGGTTAATGCAGCAATTTTTCAACTGGTGTGCCTGGTACATGGGAACTTTGATGCTTAATCTAAGAAAGTCTGGGTAGAACAGAATGGCTGAGTGACCACTCTTTATACCTTTGAATACTTACAGAATGATGACTGTAGGATACATTTATCTAAGTATAATTTCTATACTGACTTTTAATCACCATTGTATTACTGATCAGTTCCATTTCCCCTGTAGCTTTGCTTTATAGTGCATTTGGTGTCATCATTGAGAAAACACGAGGTGCAGAAGATGACCTCAATACAGTAGCAGCTGGAACTATGACGGGCATGTTGTATAAATGTACAGGTAGGAGATTTTGAATAGAGAGCTCTCTTAATACACTTGAAGTATGCTTTTGATGCATAGATTTCGAAGGAAACTGCATCCTTTTTTTTTGCAGTATAATCTAGTGTTCTCAGAAACCAGAGATTGTTACGGTTTTGGTTTGTTTAGTTTTGGTAAAATACATATAAGATTAACCATCTGAACCATATTTTAAGTGTACAGTTGAGTAAAGTTAAATATATTTACATTGTTGTGCAACCAATCTCCAGAACTTTTCTTCATTTTACAAAACTGAAACTACTCATTAAGCAACTCTCCATTTCTCCCTTCAGCCCCTGGCAACTACCATTTTGCTTTTTATCTATGAAATTGACTACTTTAGGTACCTCATGAAAGTGGAATCATACAGTATTTGTCGTTTTGTGACTGGCTTATTTCATTTAGTGTAATGTCCTCAAGGTTCATCCATGTTACAGCATGTGTCACAATTTTTTTCCATTCTAAGCAGATACTTGGTTGCTTCCACCTTTGGCTACCTTGAATAATACTGTTATGAATGAACATTAGATAAACTAAATACCATTCAATTTTGAAAATAAAGTCCTAAGAGTTGATCCAAAATGATCTGGGGAAGATCAAATATCAAATTCTCCTCTAAAATAGAAAAATAATTAACATTCACTGAACTATGATTATACTCTCAGCAATGAATACTTAATAATTTGTTTTATTTAAAACTGTGAAATGAGAATCACACTCCAGCTTTATAGATGAGCACAGTATTAAGACGACCTTTTTCAAAATGTCATATAAGCAGTGACAGCCTCAAATTTTTCATCACGTCAGTTTGTTTGTTTTTTTAATATATTTTATTTATTTTTCACAGAGGAAGGGAGAGGGATAGAGAGTTAGAAACATTGATGAGAGAGAAACATAGATCAGCTGCCTCCTGCACACCTCCTACTGGGATGTGCCCGCAACCAAGGTACATGCCCTTGGCCGGAATCAAACCTGGGACCTTTCAGTCCGCAGGCCGATGCTCTATCCACTGAGCCAAACCTGTTAGGACCGTCACGTCAGTTTTAAATTACTTAATTAAACTGCTTAAGTTCTTCACTCCTGTCTCTGAAGAGCACTTTCATTTGTTTGATTGCTTTATTATGTCTGAGACACTTGATTAACTGAGTAATTCTGTTTATTAGGAATTCTTTCATCACATGTATCAAGTAGTATTTTTGCTCAATTTTTACGAGAAAGAAATGTGAGAAGTCTCTCATGATTATAAAGTCCAAGTTTTCCTATCATATCTAGAGTGAGAGGCTTTTCTGTATTGAAATAGATTGCATTTGGAATTTTATTCCTAAGAGCTCACACAGCTTCTTGCACCATGTATGGTGTGTTTGCACGCAAACAGTTTCCAGGTAGAATATGTCCATGAAATGTTGCCTTGGCATAGAAAAAGCTTATTAAAAACCTAAAAACACTTTTACATTGAAAATCTGTAGGGTCAGACAAAAGAATGTTAAATTTTAATTGGCAGCACAAAGGTGGCACTCAGCCAGAAAGGGTTTTTAAATAACAAATTAATATTTTAAAAAATGAAGATTTCACAAAACTCTGGAATTCCAGCTTCTTTTGAATAAATGGAAGACACCAAGCTCACACTGTATGGTGGCAAATGGCTGGAGCAGAATGGGGAGCCACTTCTACCCCAGTGGGTGGGCATGGAAGCTGAGTCCCCACCATTCCCTGTTTTCTTACTCAAAGTAAGCCATTATGGCATTTCCTGTGTTAGGAGCAGTTCTGAATATACAAATGCAAATTATCTAATTTAAGGCATTATGCATATTTAAAAAATAGAAAGGAAAAGGCTGAATACTTGATATTATCAAAAGAAATGGTAGCCAGTTTTCTGTGTCAAGGACTTCCTTGCAGTAATAGCTTGGGACAGCTTCCACATAAATTATGGAATAGAAAGCCCTTGGCTCAAAAGAGAAAAAGCAAAAAAGATTATCGATTAGTTCTGTCAGGTGATGAGTTGGTTGCAGCTCCCTTTCCGTTGGGGACCATAGAGGAAGGTAAATGATCTCCTGAACCAAAATTCCAGCATTGCTTCCCATCCCTGCCTCAGCAAAGGCAGATTGGTGTCTTTTATTGATTTTGTGTGGCAGGAATGCAAATGTGTAACTTCAACTTTCAGATTTGGAAAAGAGTTTGGGCACTCTAGTCTAGAGCAGCATAAACTGTTAGGGAAGGAATTTCACATTTAGGGAATGGCTAATTCCTGCTGACCTAAAATATTTGCAATCCCCAGTGTACTCTTCAAAATATAATTTTTTTTAAAAAAGTATAGCTCTGGGGCTGTCACTTTAGCCCTAACCAGTTTGGCTCAGTGGATAGAGCGTCGGCCTGTGGACTGAAGGGTCCCAGGTTCTATTCCGGTCAAAGGCACATGCTCGGGTTGTGAGCTCAATCCTCAGTAGGGGGCGTGCAGGAGGCACCCAATCAAAGATTCTCTCATCATTGATGTTTCTCTCTCTCCATCTCCCTTTCTCTCTGAAATCAACCATATATATACATATATGTGCGTGTGTATGTATGTATATATATACACACACAGACACACACACACATATGTATCTATAATAATCCTATCTAATAATAGACAAACAGGGTAATTGACCGTACCTTCGCTACGCCTCCCATTGGCTAATCGGCATGATATGCAAATTAACCGCCAACAAAGATGGTGGTTAATTTGCATACGTAGGCTCCAAGCGGTGGAGCGAAGACTGAAGGCAAGCCGGAGCAGCGAAGACGGAAGACGGAAGGCAGCTCTGGCCAGAGCGAAGGCCTGGGTCCCAGGTGCCAGAGGAAAACCTGTGCCCGCAGCCAGGAGAAGGGAAGGCCTATTGCACGAATCTCTTCGTGCAACAGGCCTCTAGTAAAAGTATAATATGCTAATTAGACTGGACAGCCAGGCGAAGCCGGAATTTCGTGCATCAGGCCTCTAGTATAAAATAATAAATGTGTTTAAAAAATGGGGGAAGGACTTTAGAATGAAAGTAGTATGATCCAATGTAGCCACTTCAGTACAAAAGTAGTACTTTTGCAGCTACTTAGTAGAAAGAAAAATTATGAGGAAAATACTACATGACAACATGGGCTATTGTAACCGGACAACCAAGGAGTCAGGGCTGCCTGTCACTACATGAGCCAATTAAGCAGAGACAGGGTTGAATCATACATGAGCGTTTATTCCAATCCTACTGGCAGCATGGGAGAGCAGCAGGTCATCCACAAAAATCTGCTCTGCCCTCCACCATAAGCCAGCTGCTTATATTGGGTAGAAGGACAAAGATTACATGGGAAAGTGGGCCCAGGATAAACATTACAGGTTACAAGTCATGCAGGCTTGGAGGGGTCAGGGGGGTCACATAGCGTGGATGCCCTTGGGCGCCCCAGGACCAGATTGTAGGTAATAGGGGCTGGGGTTGTAAAGAACAGGTGCTTCCAGGATAGATTGTCTCAGCCTCGAGGTTATAAATCTCTCCATAACCATAGGCAGTTCTTGGGACAGGAGGTTGGACGTCATTCCGATGTTAGCTCCCATGTCCCAGGGCGTACAATTCCCAGCCAAGAGAAAATGTGCTTTCTAATCAGAACAGAACCATCATGGTTAACAGCATGATTAATGTGTCTCATAATTAGTTTCCAATATTCTATATCTGCCCCTAACATTGTCACACCAGAAAGAGGCTAATTTTTTTTAATCCTCACCCAAGTATATGTTTATTAATTTGAGAGAGAGAGAGAGAGAGAGAGAAAGAGGAAGGGAGAAAGAAACATCTATCAGTTGCCTCCCATACGCACCCTGATTGGGGTTTGAACCTGCAACTTTTTTGGTGTACACTGACACTCCAACCAGCTGAGCCACCCTGCAGGGTCAAGAGGATAATTTTTAAAGTAATAATTCTGATGATACCATTTTTTAAATTTTGCCCTAGCCGGGTTAGCTCAGTGGATAGAGTGTTGGCCTGTGGACTGAAGGGTCCTAGGTTTGATTTTGTTCAAGGGCACATGCCTGGGTTGCGGGCTCGATCCCCTGTGTAGGGCATGCAGGAGGCAGCCGATCAATGATTCTCTCTTATCATTGATGTTTCTATCTCTCCCTCTCCCTCTCTGAAAATCAATAAAAATATAATTTAAAAACATTTTCCATTTTATTTTGTTAATCCTCACCCAAGGATATTTTTTCCATTGACTTTTAGAGAGAGGGAAGGAGGGAGAAAGAGGAACATCAATGTGAGAGAGACATATCAATTGGTTTCCTCCCATACGTGCCCCGACCTGGGCCAGGGATCCAACCTGCAACCCAGGTATGTGCCCTTGACCAGGAGTTAAAACTGGGACCCTTTGGAGCACGAGCCGGCACTGAGTGACACCGACCAAGGCAATTTTCTTTTTTTCCGTCACCATTTATCCCTTCTATGCCTTCTTTCACCTCCCCCCACATACAAGCTGTCTTCCTGCTCTCTGTCTATGAGACTATCTCTATTTTGCTTGGTAGTTCAGTTTGTTCATATGATTTTAGTTCAGACCTAATGTTTACTTAATGAGTTATGTAAATATTTTTCAGAAGGCGTGAAATGTCATTATTAGATTTCCTGTGGCATATGAAAGTATTTAATAATAGCCAGTATTCTATCAGAACAAGAACAGCTTTAGTTTTGCTATTATCCATAGTTTTGGAATGATTTAGAGGCTGGTCACTTATCTTCAGGAAATAAGGCCTCAGAAACCAAGACATGGGTCCCCCTTCCCACTCACAAAAAATCCCTGATCAGTTAATCCTGCTCCTTCCATAAGAAAGTCATCTATAAAAGCAAACTAAGCAGAAGTAAAAAGATACACAAATCCAGTTAATCAAAGTAAGCAATTGTCATCTGTTGCTATTAAAAGGTAATATTTATCCATGAATGCCAGGCCTTCAAAATTAAATTCTATGTGTCAAAAGGAGG